TCGACTGGCCTGGAATGGGCTGGCTTTTTCTGCCATCGCCTGCACGCTCTGCAGAGTGAAACATGGCGAAATAAAACCCAAATCACGGTTTTTATTCATGCATATTTGTTTAAAGCACTGCTGGAATTGGTTTGGGGAAGGTATAAGAAAGTCATTAACTTGTGTTACTTCTCTGCTTGTCACACTTATGGCTGCAGTACATCCCACACTGTATTGTAGCTGCAGGATAAGATTAAACACAGCATACTGAAAGGAAAACATGCTCAGCTCAAATGAAAACAATCAGTTCATTCTCCAGTCGGGCACCGAAGACAAGCTTCCATATCATGTAAATTTAATAGATAATAAAAATAATCTTGTTTCAGGAGCAAAAGATATAACTCATCATTACTGCTACATGGATTTCTTTATTTGCTTTTGGTGAGTTTACAGGAACTCTACTTTAAAACAGGAGTAGCTTCTGTTCATCTTACCTACATTTATTTTATTTTGTACAAAACCAAACCTTTAAAATCTAATCGGTTAATGTGTAAAAGACACAATGACACAGAAGTTGAAATGGGTTCCTTACACACTGCTGTGTTGGTTTTAGTATTAAAGCATGATACTCTACAAATGTTTTAAATGGGCCCTGACTTCCTATCCATACCAGACTCATAAACTAGTCTTGATGCTCTTAAAATAATTAGAAAATCCTCCACCTTTTTTCTTCATCTGCTTTAGTTTGTTTATTACTATGAAAACCTGACATATAGCTCAAGTGAGCCATAAGAATTGACTCCTTGATAGGTGTGGAAATGTTTTCAGTAAAAGTCCAGCTGCTTCTGGTTTAACCCTGTTTTATTTCTGCCTTGACCTGGATGACAGGCAAAACAAAATGACTTCAAACTACAGCACAGATAGGATCAAACGTATGTGTTAATTCTGCTTAAAAAGAAACAGTTAAGAAATAAATCTTAATAATTAGCATTTTCATGTAATTTTTACAGCCCTAATAACAAATTTTTTTTACAATGTTTCCATTTCCAAGTTGTTTTGGATTTATCAAATAAGGACTTTGTCAAAGTATCACCAGGTATGGTAGAGATTGGACAGGAGTCCATCTTTCTCTTTTTGCGTTGCTTATATCTAATAATGTGATTAACACCTTTAATTTAGATTATGTTGTTATTATGATCAGCTTCTGTAATAATGCTAAAAATGGATTTTCTCTTTTTAATTTCTGTACAATAAAATGTGCGATCTGTATCATAATGCTACCCATCTTTCTCTAGTGTATTTGTATGCCATGAAGAGACTCCCCCCAATGAAATCACTGAGTTATTTCAATAGAAAAAACAACAACTATCTTTACCAATAATCTTTTGAAGGGTCTGATGCGTTTCTGTAACACCCTCCAGAACTGGACAAAATCATTTCTAATGAAAAAAATACACAATGGATAACAGCCTCAGTAATGACGCTCTTAAAGCTGTTCCTATGTAACACCATCTACTGATATCCTGTCAACATGATGCATTTCAGTGTACTGTCGTATTTCCCTCCTGGACTATTTCCAGTGATCCTTTGCAGCTCTGTCAGCTCCTCCGGGGAGTTTACACAGACTTTCTCCTCTTCAGTCTTTCGTCCTTCCACCAAATCTCTCCGCTATCAGCTGAGCTGCTTCCATCTCCTTTCTCTCCCTCACAGTGACTAAAGTTTGGTCTCAGTTTTAGAGGTCAGACAGTCTGTGGATGGCTTTCCATCAGGAAGCTGGACACATTTAGCTCCAGTCTTCTCAATCGGTTGAAAAAGAATGAGTCTGACCTCTTCTGGCTGTGAGAGGAAACGCTCGAAGCTTATGGAAAGCTGAGGCAAAGGATGAGTGAAATAGATAAAGAGGAGGAGGGTTTTCTATCATAATGGGGTCAGTGGCCCCCAGTGAGATCTCCCTACTCGCTTCAGAGGCCTCCATGCTGACACAGAAGGAGGGGACACTTACTTCTCACCGTCCCGTTGGTTATTTTGCTCATTTGCTGCCGTATTTCTGCGACAGCCTTCTTGCTGCTCTCCAGTGGGGGACATTAATACTCTTTACTTTCCTCTGGACAGAGAAGTTCAGCCTCTAAAGCTTCGACACAAACACACAAATGCACCAAAGGGCTCAACAAAACATGCACGGAAAGATAAGCGGCCATAGAATGACAAATAAGTCTTTATCAAGCCTAAACCACGTATAATCCATCCCATTCCTGTCCCCATCCTCCCCTGTCCTTCCCTTTCTGGTCTGTTCATCCCTCCATCCTCTCTATTTCCCCTCCTACCATCCACTTCTCTGTTTTTTTGTCCCTTGTTTTTTTTGCCATACCAGGGCTGATCACAGAGAGGGAGTGATTAATCTGAGAAAGCTGCTTTTAGTGGTGGGGAGGGGCGCCGTTGATTGGGAAGATCTCCCTGGGAATTGTGAGGAAGCAGGGAAGGTTTCTGTGGGAACGGCTCTTTGTGTGTGACAGAGAGAAAACGGGAGGTGAATTCATCAGGAGCAAGCTGCACTATCCGGGGAAAATCAGAGAGAATGCCTCTGAGTGGAAATATCTCCACACTCCTCCAAAGAAATCCATCCAATCATCTCCTGTCATCTCTGCTGTATCTGTCCAGCTTTAGATGTAATGCTAGCTAAGTTCTGAACCGGTAAATCCAGATTATCCCGAGTTTGGTTCCAATCTGAGGCTGATGCAGAGCAGCGAGAAAAGGACACATGATACATGTGATCATGAGCACAGATAGGATTTACTTCTGTGTTCAAATAAAACAGCTTTTATATATTTGTATGTTATTTTACTCCTATGATTTTTTATCCAGCTGATTTATTATTATTTTCTGCTCTTCTTCACCCTGTGTTCATTTATAATACAACGTGGTACAGCGTTTTACCTGGAGACCTTCCATCAGTCTCTGTTTGAGCTCTCGCTGCTGTTCTGAATTTAAATTTTTTAAAAGATGGAACCTTTTTTTTTCATTGTAATCAAGTGTTGATGCTCTGATGCCTTTGGAGAGATGTGAGCGAAGGCGTCTCAGAGGTGCAGAGATGCTTTCTGTAAAATATTAATCACAAAATGAAAAGACACGAGGGTCTCCCATATCTGAATAAACATGTCGGAGCTCCATGGAGGTTCTGACAGAAACCACAGAAAGGAAAACACAAACATGCCTTGTGGAAAAACAGTGTCCACCTTCAGTCTATGCTGGTTAGGAATGGATTCTACAGTTCTCCTGTTTAAAAGCACTAACTGATCATTACGCCTAAATGAAAGGCTTTTTTCAGTTTGTTTTTAAAGGGGGACAAAGCTTAGTTTAATACAATGGGGCGTTGGAAAGACTTCAGCAGTTACCTTAGATCAGGGGAGTCAAAGTGGTTCCAGAAAGGGCGATGTGGCTGCAGGTTTTCTTTCCAACAAAGCAATAGCAAACCAGACACCAGCCATCTCATCAAGTGAGTCCAGTCTGAACATGATGACTTGATGAGCTGTGCTATTGCTTGGTTGGACGGAAAACCTGCAGCCACACGACCCTTCCTGGAACGACTTTGAGACCCCTGCCTTAGATGCATGTTTCCCACATTATATCCAGGAAGGATTTTCAGACCTTCTCCAAATTATAAAGTCTATCAATCTTCAGAGAGACAACTCTTCATTATTGGAAAATACTTCCCAGAAGTGGAGAAGCGTCAACGCAAGCAGGAATCAGAGATAAGACCGAAAAGAAATAAAAACTCCATCTTAAACTGCTGGGGCTCACTTAGCAGGTCAAAGGTTAGCCTTCATAAAGATATGGCTTATTGGAAGGGTTGACAAAGAAAGGGTCTCCTTTCTTAAAACAATGTGTGCTTAGGGTTGGAAAGTGGTAAAGATTTCTGGGATGATGTCATATTTGGTTAATGGGTGAGCTCTGGCTTAGGGTGAGGGTCAATGTGAGGTGATCCTCTAACCTTGTCTCTAGAAAAAATACATTTTGTAAATAATAGTTTTTGTTTTTTAACCCATTGTTGTGGATGCTGATGCTGTAGACGGGAAGGATCTCCTGTAGGGGTCTGTATTACAGCAGGTCTGGAGGAGCTTCTGACTGAGAATGTTGTCGTAAGACAGTATGATGAAGAGGATGCTGAGGGCGATGTAAAACCTTTTAGATTTTATGAAGTATTCTCCAAGGTCTCAAGACTTTTTCAGCCTTTTTAGCTCCACTCCTCTTCCTTTGAGCTCTGATAAACATCCCTCTCCACAACCACCACAATGTTCCCATGTGGGAAAGATGATCAGTTTTCTACCACAGATTTTTTTTTAAATTAAGCTGAAAAAGTTCAGTTTAAGTTTAATCTGAGAGCTCCTGCTTCCATAAATTTGACATTACCTGTTATATTTTAAAATCAGGACTTCTGGTTTTTCCTCAGCTGGTCAATCTTCTCTCCAAGTTCAGATGAAAGTCTAGAAAGTTCCCTGTCTGCTGCGTTTCATTAATGTTCAGAGGTACAGAGGCGCCACCGGACAGGTGGAGTGTCTGGCCCAAGGACATGACAGAAATGGACAGAGCTGGGGTTCCAACTACTGTAGCAACCCCCTGATGTTTGGTTTGAACCCTCCTACAGTAATGTAGCCCCACAATTACACAAACCTAATGCTTTTTATTTAAATATGGATATATATAAAAAAGTGTTTTTGTTGTTGAGAAGAGAATAAAATCAAGATCCATAATAAATGTCTAATATGAAAACATTTAACAATAGTCTGCAGAAACACATTAAAAGGAATAAACGGCCTCTTTCTGGTGGGTCGCCTCCTCTGCTTGTCTTTCATCCTCCATCAGATTGTCTGAACTGAAGAGATTTTGCTGTTGCTTCTGTGGGAGGCAGTTGTGTTTCTGTTCTGGCGGTTGTAGTTTAGTGGAAAGCTCTCTGCTCATGCAGCCCATTATTTCTCCCATCATGTGTTCTCACTCTTTCTCCCGTTCTCCGTCTCTCCCTGCAGAACCACACACTGAGCCAGCACGCGCAGTGAGACCGGGGCCCAGTGGGATCCCTCAGCTCAGCCGCGCCCCCGACCCGGAGCCGGCAGGGGACCCACATCTCCACATCACAGCCAATCAAAGTGTCATTTGCTACTCACATGTAAAAGTGTAACGATCGCGCGACTGGGCGCGGCCATTAGGAGCAGCGGGGGGACGGAATATTAATGGGAAATGCTATTAAATAAAGAAAAGGGGAAAGTGGGAGAGGAAAACTGTAAGAGCGACGTGATGGGAGGAGAAGGGTGAACAAAGGTATTGTACGTGCAGTATTTTTTATTGTCCCTTCCAAAACCCCCTCCTCCCACCAGCCACCATCTGACTCATGCTTTTTATTTTATTTTCCAACAAACTGAATAAAAAACAATTTTTTTTATTATACTTTTGGTAGATTGTAGGAAAAGCATCGCTATGTTGTCCCCTCAGTTGCTTCTTGTGTTCATAAGTCCTATTTTTTTTTTTAGCTTTTTGCCTTTATTTTCAATATTTTATTTTTTGCAGTTAGTAGGTACTCGTGCTGTGTTGTGATTGCCAGTCGTAAAATTCCTGACCCCCCCACAAGCAAACTTTCCTTTTTATGATTGTTATATATTTTCTTCCTTTTGTAATTACTATTAAAAAATTCATGAAAACAAAAATAAAGTGCAGGAAAAAAACGTACAGATCTTTTCTTTCTTTTTCTGCTCTTTTTTTTTATTTGGGATTTCCAGACATGGGGCCTGTAATGGTTACTGTAAAAATAATTATCAATGATTTCAGTGCGTCTGGTCCAAGACCAGTTTTTAAATGTGAATTAACCAGATTGCAATAATCTAGTACAGAAAAAAAAAACAAGAAAACAAATAAAAGAGAAATAAAGAACTTCTGTGTGGTGTCAACTTATTTACAGAAGCACTTGCTGCTTTCTTTGCAACAATAACTGCAACCTAGGTGTAATCGTGTCTGCAAATGTTGGGAATCTTTCAATTAGGATGATCTCAGCTCCAGGATCTCATCTCTTTGCGAGCTTAACCCGCCTGGTTGACTTTAGAAGTTTTGATCTGGTTTCGAAGATGAAACTAGCTCCGAGAGAGGCTTAAACAGGAAATTAATCCTAAAGCGGTAGAATTAACTGGAATTCTTCTCATCTCTACTCACCACTCTAAGAAGGAAGATGCAGATCATTAAGAATTCACTTCATTTTTCTAACAGAAGATTAAAATTTCCTTGTTTACATGTATGACAGTAGTACAGAAAACACACTTATGATTCTGAAGACGTTGTTACTCCATGGTGCCACTTCATGATGCAGGTCTAACTGGAGAATTTTTTAAATCCTTCACATTCCTCCTCAATCTTTCGTCAGTCAGTTTGTCCTTTTTTACTTTGCTACTTTTTTTTTGTAAAATCAGAAAGGATTTAAATATAAATGGTTAAGAAAGGATTGATGGGACAAAGGGCAGAGAATCACCAAATCTTAGATCAGCACAGTTAAGAGATAATTTTATGCCGCGTAACCCCTAATTGTTTGGAGTAAAAAAAAAAAGAATGCTTGTTGAGAGATCCTTTAAATAGCAGCAAAAAAGTGTATATATATATATAAATATATTTTATAGGTTTTAGGTGCATATTATTTGTATAATGCATTTTGGGACATACAATACCACAAGTGTAGCCTGGGTGCCATTCCGAACTTAGTCCCGCCCACAACGTTTGAGGTCAGGAAGTTCGGTCTGGCATTGCTCAACAGTCACGCGAGTATGCTCGCACAATATCTGGCGGGCCAATCAAATTGTCAGGGCGGGCTTTATACGATGATGGACAGATGATCAACAGTAACGTAATCAACCACGTGACCAAAGCGCGCATGGGTGACAACAACAATGGCTGCCGCTGGAGAGTTGAGGTGTGTAGATTCTGCTATTAGGTCTGTTCTAGAAGATATCGACAGCAAATTAATTTTAAAAGAGGAACAGAGAAACGCGATCAAGGCTTATCTTCTTATTCTAGGCGTGAAACTGCACGCTTTGATTTTTGTTGACAACAACTGTGCCTGGCTTAACATACGTCACGCACTCCGTTGCTCTTATTGGTTATAGGTCTATCCAATTGAGTGCAGAGGCATTTTTTTCCTGGTTCGTTCGAAACACGCCCCATAATCACAGCTCTATGGAGCAGCATCAGACTCATATTCTGACTAGAATTGAGTAGGACTACGTCAGGCTACCACAAGTGTGCTTAAATGATGATAAGAATGCTGCAGAACTTGGGGGGATCTAAAGAAAATTAAGTTAGGGGACAAAGTCTCTGTTGTCATCACCTGGTGGCTCACTGGTAAAGATCAAATTACCAGATTAACAGGTGTTTTGTAGATGTTGCTAAGTTTATGTCAGGAATACTTTGGAGTTTTCATACCTTAAGAGCTATTCAGTTCAGTTTATTATATAGTGCCAAACTCTCATCTCAAGGGACTTTAATAGAACAATTCAACCAGATAGGTCAGTTTTCTAAAGAAAATCAGCTGATTGCATTGATTTGACAGCAATCCCTCACACCAAACATGCATGTAGCAACAGTGGAGAGGAAATGCTCCCTTTCAACAGGAAGAAGCCTCCCGCAGAACCAGGCTCAGTGTGAGCGGCCATCTGCCGAGGCGGACGGAAGTTGAAGGAGACAGAAGCAGACATAAAATAAAAAGCAGAGATACAAAATGTAACTGTTAACGAACTCCACATGTGCTCCTGTCCAGGAAAGATAGCAAAGAAGTCGAGCTCCGAGCATTCCCACGTCACAGGATGAACGAGAGCATATATAGTTGGAGATTGAACTAACATATTCCGCAGAATGGGATAAAAGAGATGACGAAGCAGAATAATGAAAAGGGTTCCCTATGTCCTCCAGCAGTCTAGGCATACAGCAGCATAACTATAGAGATAGCTCAGGATAACCTGACCCACTCTAACTGTAAGCTTTATCAAGAAGGAATGTTTTTAGCCTTGCCATAAAAGTAGACAGCGGCTTTAATGATGCATTAAAACCTCTAGTTCCAATGGTATGAAACAGGCACTTCCTGCTTTCATGGTGACTTGTTGAATCGGTGCTCCACTGATTATGGCTTTTCATACTTATTACACATATGCTCAAGTATGAAGGGACCTGCTTAGAGTTGATTAAACTAACTCACAGCAGCCGTTGTGAAACCAATAACTCCGAGTTTTAAACTTTAAGCTAGATCAATTCAGATTTGAGGATTGTGGTCTGAGTTTGTTAAACCTGCTTTGTGAGACGGGCCTCAGGTGGTATTGTGTACCGTAATC